TTGGGCTGGGGATTTAGCTCAGTGGTTCTGCCACCTGTCTTGCAAGCACAAGGACCCAAGTTCAATCCCTGGTACCAAAAAAAAAAAAAAAAAAATCCTGCCTCCTGCTATGAACTGATCTACATCCTGGGCCACTGATGGTGAACTAGACCACGGGCTGGCTTTGGCCAATGTGATTTTGGCAGGCATAGCCAGGAGCAGAGGCTTTAAGTGCTTGGGAGGTTTGGTTGGTATTTTTGCACTCCTGCCTTTTCTCATGAGAAGAACATGTGCAGGTAGCTGGTTGTACAAGGAGGACAGATGTGGACCATATCTGAAGCCAACTTGCTGCCTGGGGCAAAGCAATTCCAAATAACCTGCACAGCCATGGGCAAGAAAAATAAATGAGCCACTCAAATTTTGAATGTTTATATGAAGAAAAATAACTAATATACCTATCAGGCAAATAAAATAATTTTTTAGTTTCTTTCTACATTTAGTTCCTCTAGAAAAATGAGAATAGAGGAATGCCGTAAGAACAGCATTGTGATGTTAGGCTTGTAAGATTTATGGAACCACAAAGCTACTGTCTTCAGAGTCAAAGAAAACAGCAGTGATTTTAAAAATGAACAGAGCCCTGCGAAATATAAAATTCAAAGCAGTATTTTATACAAGTTTGGCAACATCAATGCCAACACAAATTAATTACAGAAAGCATAAAAAGAAAATGCTATGGTTTACCACCTTGCTGTTTGATAAGGAACTAAAGGACAGAAGCCTCAGGAATAAAAACAGATGTGGGTGCCAACTCAGGTTTGGTTCTCAGAATGCACTATTTCCCTGATGTCCAAATCAAATCACTTCATCGAACATAATGTATCCACTCCTTCAAAATGGTAAATGTGAATAGGCTTGATTATCTCTAATCCTGGAAGAGCAGTACAGAGTATAAAACCCAGAATTAGTGAGGTAGAGTAAGGTTAAAGACATTTTTTCTTTTGCTGATAATCAGTGAAATAATACTCTGAAATGATCCCAAGAAATAAATCAACAAGTATATATTCAATAATGATGTACCTATAATTGTGCTAGACATTGTTGCAAGATACAAAAGAAACAAAAGACCTCATCTAGTCTCTTCTTGGATATTTTACAATCCAGTTGCGCAGCTAAGTAATGAAACCAACAATAAACCAAGTGCAGGGACAAGAGGTGGGCCTAACGAACTAGACAGAAGACTGAGCAGCAGAAAGGGCTACAGTGATTTGCCCAGAAAGGAAGCTGCATGATCCCCCAGAGTTCAGGAATAGAGCTACTGCTGCTTTGTTTTATGTTACTTTATTCATTTATTTTAGTTTCTCGAGGTAGGGTCTCACTATGTAGCCCAGGTGGGCCTCGAACTCACAGCAATCCTCCTGCCTCAGCCTCCCAAGTACTGGGATTACAGGCCTCCACCACAATGCCTGGCTCTTACTGTTTTTTGTTTTTTTGGTTCCAGGGATCGAACTTGGGTCCTTGAGCTTGTGAGGCAGGCAGCAGCACCACTGAACTAAATCACCAGCCATCTTACTGCTTTTCTTTAAAGCTCAGTCTTTAATTTATATTTTAATGTATTTTTAAACATACGAACTATTAAAACAATTGCCATTTTGTGAATAAATATATATCTACTTGGGTAAACCATGATTTTTTTCTAATTATAATAAGAACACAATCAAGATACAGGATTAAGAGGTGAAATCCCAATCAGTTTAGGACTCCTACTTTGACCTCTACCCACAAATCAGAGCCAGTGTTGGCTCCCTGTCTGCAGAAGCATCAAATTAAAAGCTGAGCCAAGCTGTTTTATCAGCGGGTTTTCATCACCCTGGAGCCAGAAATCTGGGCTTACAAAAGAAAGGTCTCTTACCTGGAGTGTTACCCCCCGGAAAGAAAACAACTGCCCTCTTACAATGGAAAGTTGGGGGAAAATTTTTATTAAGTTTCATAAATCTAAATCAAATAAAATAAAATAAATAAAAGTTTCATAAATCTTTAACTTAATGATCAAATTTTACAGAAGAGACTGCTGAGGCTGCATACACTAGTACCAATACAGAAACTATTATAAATGGAGGAAAAAGAGGACCTAGTATGGTTCTCCACCCCAAAAGATTAGTGACTAAAACCCAGAAGGCATTTAGTTAATGGTGTATAAATGATACACAGTACATGATACAGTGGAGCGTTGAGTACTTGGGAGACACTTGCCTGACTCCTATTAAGAATGTGGGGCTGGGT